AGTCTCTTTAGTCCCGTCCCCTTCCCCAAAAACCAAAGCCAGATCTTTTATTTATCAGTTCATTGGGGTTCTTTTTGTTCATTGGGGTTTGTTTTTGTTTTGTTCTTTTTGTTAATCTCTTTGATTTTCAGAATTTCTGTTTTAGTGTTTAGTTCAGATTTTTTTTTATTTGTTGCTCTTCTAGATGTTTCAGTTTTGCACCCAATTTATCATTCTGTATTTCTCACTTTTGTTAATGAAAGTGCATAGAAATACACAATTTTCTTAGGAGTTGCTTTGACTCAGTTCCCCAAATTTTGATATATTGTCTTGCTGTTGTATTTTCTTTGAAATTATCTATTTCACTGATTTGTTCTTAGACTCACCTGTTCTTAAGGATTAAATTATTTAGTCTCCAATTAAGTTTTAATTTTTTCTTTGAAGATATTTTATTGAAAATAATTTGTATTAAAAAAACAAAAAACAAAAAGAAAATAATTTGTATTGTATGTAAAGGATGCATTTAACATTTCTCTTTTCTGCACTTATTTGAGGTTTTTATGGTCAGTTTTTGTAAGTCTTTCATGCACAGTTGAGAAATATGTGCATTCAGTTTTGCTGTGAGATATACACATTCCCAAAAATGCACTATGCTATGCAAAATTGCACAATGAAAAACCAGAGCTTATGGGGAGAATGGGGTTAGAGGCACAGTGCTCAAAAACTTCATTAGTCATACACACACACAAATATAAGAACCTAATAAAAAATGGTACCTCAATTTTATACATGTTAAATGGATAAGAAATAGGTAATTAAAAATGGTAGCTGTCCCTGGCCTTTTGTAAAACACGCTGGGCAGGTGGAAACTCCAGGTATTGGGGTATGGGGAAGAGACTTCCTGAGTTTAGACCAGGCCTCCTTTACCCACAACTTCCTACTGCATCAGGAGATACACAAGAAATATGGCAATTTACCTTAAAAAGGATCTGACATGTGCTTGTGGAAATGGACACTGGAAGTGCTGCTGCTTGTGAGTGATTGTGATGTGGCATATGCAATTTTGGGCATTCTTGTTGTTTCTCTTAGAAGAAATCAAGCAGAAACACATGAAATTCGCATTATGCTCAAAATGTTCCCTAAGGTAACTGTCATGTTGTAACAAATTCCTATTTTTAGAAAAAGAGTTACAGCAGAACTGACTGTATAATCCATTCTGTTCTCAATAATATTCAGATATCTGTTGTGTCTAACTTCCAGAAATTCTCTTCAGGTCCTTAAATGTCTTTTTTTGCTTATTTTTTGTGAGATTGATCTAGGTTTGAGTATGTTGTGTGGTCCTCAACTATTAAGTTTTACTATCTATTTCTTCCTCCAGTTTGTTACTGTAACCTCTCACCTCTTCTCTCTGTTAATACATCCATCATCTACCCTAATAGAATCGTCCCCCAGCCTTCTCCTTGCAACTGTCTCTTTCCTTTAAGTATTTAGATGCTATGCCATTTAGTGCAAATATATCAAGTATTGATATTGTTTTAATGTAATTTCCCAGTTTTCATCGTGTCTGTTTTTACTCTTGCCTTGTCTGAGATCATGATTGCTGTCCCTGTGTGGTAGGAGCAATGTCTTAAGGCCCTGACCCAGGCAGACTAGTCTAGTTTTTTGGTGAAAGGTACCAGAAATGTCATCTAGATTTAATTGGCTCAGTGGACTAAAGCTTGGGCCATTAATATAGTGTCTTGGTCACCTGAGTACAAAAACAGCCAGGACATGAGGGATTGGAACCCTCCTCACAAGCTTTGGACTGAGGACTGGCAGAACGACTTGCAGCAGAATTTTCAACTCAATCATCTGTAGCCCCAGTTCATTCTGAGCTTTAGCATTCTTGTAACTATTTTTTCCAGCTCCATGTCACTCTTATATTTAATCTCCTGTTACTTGGCCTTGCTTCCAATTTCTTTACATTTAAAAAAAATCTAATATGTTTGCTAAGTCTCTTTACCAAATCCCATTTTTCCTCCTTATTGGAATTCTTTCCTTTAGTGTCTTCAGAATTTCATTCTTAAGCATCTCCTATCCCTTCTAGCCTGACTTACCCCATAGTATTTGAGTTCAAGAGTTTTAAATCTGCTCTATTTAAAAAAGAAACAAAAAAAGTGAAAACAACTTCATTCATCCATTTATTTGCATGCTTTTACATGCTTTTACTGTCTGTCCTTCCCACTTCCCCTTCCCCCAATTAAATAATGTAAAAACTATGCAGAGTTCACCAAAACAAATTATAACAGCCATATCCAAAAAATGTATGTCTTATTCTGCATAGTAAGTCCATTACCTCTCTGGCAGGAGGTGGGTGGTATATTTACTTCATTTTTAATCCTCCAGCATTTGGTTTATTGTTGCATTGATCAGAGATCTAAGATCTTTTTAAAAAAATTTTCTTTATAATGGCATTTTGTAAATTGTTCTCCTAGTTCTGCTCACTCTACTGTGTCAGTTCATAGAGGTCTTCCCAGTTTCCTGTAAAAGGATCCCATTTCGTCATTTCTTATGGTGCAGCAACATTCTATTACATGCATATACTGTAACACTCTCCAGTAGGTGAACATTCTTTTAGTTTCCAGTTCCTTTCTGCTACAAAAATTTTTAGAGAGGCAAATTTGGGGTTGATGTAACGATAAAATTCCTAGTAATTATAATTATCCAAAGCTAGAGTGGGCTGGCTGCCTTAGGACATTGGTGATTCGATTCCCTTTCACTTGAAGTCTTCAAGGACAGGCTTGTTGAGGATATTGTAGAGGGTATACTCAGGTATGGTTTGGACTGTCAGTTAATAAACATTTATTAACTAGGTGATCTTTGAGTTTTTTCCTTTCTAATATTCAGTGGTTACCCAGGAGCAGTGAGAACTAAATATTCATATTGTTTAGAAATTATTTTAAAAATCTTTTTAATGTATCTAATTCTCAACTAAATTTAATTTTTTTTTTCTTAAACACTCCCTTTTATCTGCCCAGCTATATAACTTAATGTAATCTTCCCCCAGTCTTCTCCTTGCAACTGTCTTTGAGCAGGAAGCTTGAGAAGAAAGAATTAAATAGAATTTCTAGAGGAAAAAAACATAGAGCTAGAAGTTACCTTACAGGTTAGGCAGTCCAGTCCCCTTATTTTACTAGAGAGGTAATAGAGGTTCAGAGAGGTTGTGAGTTGACCAAGGTCACATAGATAGTAAGTGGTGAGGTCAAGGTATAAACCGAGCTGCTCTGCTGGCAAATCCAGTGCTTTTTCCATCATATAATGCTGACCTTTCTATACAACCTTTGACACTGTTGATCATCCTCTTCTCCCTAATACTCTTTTCTCTCTAGATTTTCTCAACACTATTCTCTCCTGGTTCTCCTATCTGTCTGACCCTTCTCTAGTTTTCTTTGCTAGATCTTCATCTAAGTCAAACCTGTTAATAATGACTGTCCCATAGACCTCTGTCTTTGATCTCCTGCCTTTCTTTCCCCTCCCTCCCCCTCACCTTTCTTTCTATACCATTTCATCAGCTCCCATAGATTCAGTTATCTTTATGTTGATAATTATCTAATTATCTAACTTTAACTTCTTTGCTGACCTCTAGTTTCAGTTCTCCAACTGCTTATTGGATTTTTTGAACTAGATGTTCCAGATATCTTAAACTCAACATGGCTCAAATTGAACTCATCACCTTTTCTCCTAAATCTTCCCCTCTTCCTAACTTCCTTGTTACTGTCCAGGGTACCACTGTCCTCTCAGTCATCCATGTTTGCAACCTAAGTGTGATCCTTGACTTCTCACCCCATTTCCCACCCCCATCCAATCTGTTGCCAAGGCCTGTCAATTTTACCTTTATAACATCTTTTTATATATGCCTCCTTTTGTTCTCCGACACTGTCAGAGGATAAGACACAGGCCCTCATCACCTCCCAACTGAACTGTTGCAATAGCATACTGGGTGGTTTGCCTGCCACAAGTCTCTTTCTACTCAAGTCCATCCTCTACTCAGCTGCCAAAGTGATCTTTCTGAAGTACAAGTCTGACAATTGCTCCCTGCTTCCTCTTCCCCCCCCCCTGCCCAATAACTCCCCCACTGCAGTAAGTTCAATGGCTCTCTTTCACTTCTAGGATCAAATATGAAATCTTCTGTTTGACATTCAAAGCCCTTCATAAACTTCTTCACCCCCCTTCCAATCTTCTTATATCTTACTCCCTTTAACATATTCTGTGAACCTGTGACACTGAATTCCTTGTTGTTCCTCATACAAGACACTAATCTCCTGACTCTGGACATTTTCACTGACTGTCCCCTGTGCTTGGAATGCCTTTCCTCCTCATCTCTACCTCCTGGCTTCCCTGGCTTCTTTCAAATCCCAGCTAAAATCCAACCTTCTACAAGAAGCCTTTCCCAATTCCCCTTAGTTCTAGTGTCTTCTCTTTGTTGATTATTTCCAGTTTATCCTGTATATAGCTTGTTTGTACTTAATGGTTTGAGACTATGTTTGTATTAGATTGAGCTCTTTGAGCATATGGACTGTCTTGATATCTCAGTGCTTTGCACAATGCCTGGCACATAATAAATACTAAATAAATGTTTATTGACTGATAGGATAGGTGAGGACAAGTGAAGATATGGTAGTGAAGTAGGATCTGCAAGATGTGGAATGTAAGTTTTAGTAAAGGTTGTGAATGTGTGGTTAGAGGAATTGGTTTTGTGCAGGTGTGTATATGATAGGAGAGAAAAAACCTGTATAATGAGAATAAATGGTTTCTTTGTTGTAAAACTGTCTAAACATAAATCCAGAAGTTCTTTTTTGGTGGTGGGGGAATGGAGGTAGGCAAGGAGATCCTCTCATTTATCATTTAGATTTTCACTTCGTAGTAATTTTTTTATTTTAGTTAATATAGGCTTGTAGGCATTTCATCCATGGCTTTCAGAGACTTTATTGCATGAAATAGTTTGTCAGAACATTAACTAGTTTTCCTTTTTTCCCCTCTAGAATCTGCCTGGGGGAAAAAGACAGACAAAGGAGACATGAACTTCTGCAGTCAAGCTTCCTGACAAGAAGTTGATGTATAGAAGGACAGAGCTGACAGGAACCAGTGAGCAAAATTTCTGACAACTGTAGCCGTCTTTTCATCCTTGAAATTTGCCATCTACAATCACAGTTTCATATTGTTTACCTTCAAGTTGAAGACAAGATCAAATTCTACAGACCTCATCCAAGGCAAGGGGGTATTTTTCTGCTGTCTTGTGGAAAGCAAAGAAACTACAATGTCTAAGAAACAAAATCAAAAGGGTAAGAGTGCATTTGGACATAACTTGTTAAAGGTACATTTGTGGATTAATAAGCACTATCAAATTCTGTAACTAGTCAAAAGTTATTCTCTTTGTTAATGCTTTTTATTTTAATAATTGTGCTTTTATAGATTTGTAATTTCATCTTTCTGTTACTATTGCTATGATTTTAGCAGAGTAAACTACTTGTTAGCTTTCTGTGTGAAAATCAGACCATAGATCTTTGTGTACTAATTGCCTGAAAATTATGAATTAAAATAGAATATTCTAAGAAAATCACAAAAAATTCTACAGTGTTGGGATCAGTTTTATCAAAGTGAGAGTTATTTCTTTATCAAATTGTAATGTAAGCTGAGGTGTCAGAATCATCGCATGTTTTGAAAAATGTTTTTTAACCCGGAAATAAGGAGTAGGCATTTGTTAGAGGAATGGAGGCAGGGTACCCATGCAAGAAAAATAAGAGCTGTACTTAACAGGTCTTGATATTTCCTTGGAGACAAACAATGGAGTAGGAAAGATGCATTAAAAAAAAATCCTCTTGCTTTGCCCCTGGAATTGTCTGTCCTTTTGCCCAGCAAGAGTCAGGCAATGTCAGGAGTAAGCTCTATAGGGAGTGAAAAGTGTTTTGATCATATGTAGTTCCTTACTAAAACTTTTCTTCAATGGGCGCATATACAAAATTAGTTTTACACTGTTAAAATTATTGCAAATTAAATTAATCTGTTCATAAGAAGAAAATGACAAGGTATATAATAAGTTATTAGAGGTCTGTTTCATATTCATTCAACATTTGAGCATCTGTTATGATTCTGTTAAGGTATCATGCTAGGTTTAATTCAGAGCATCGCTTTACATCTAATTCTTTTGTGTTCGGTGAGGGGGAATCTTCTTTAAATGCTAGCTTTCTTATTTCTCTTCATTTTTTATTAAGAAACAATATAATTTTTTTTTCAAAAAACTGGTTTCATTTTGGAAGGAATCTAACATATCAGAAATCTGCTTTTTAAGGAATAGTAGAAGTGACCAAAAGAAACTGATTTTTCTTTTGTGATAGAATTTTCCATATGAAATGTTAATCTTTTTTTTTAATGTTTGGTTTCTCCTTGGTCATCAATAATTCAGTTTTCTTTTGTCAGTTATTCTAGAAGAATTAGGCAAGATGTTTTTCCTCCTGCAAGTGGAAAAGTGCCATGTACATTATTTCCCAGCAGAAAAATTCAGTATATTTAGCAGTTTCCTTTTTAAATGAAGCGCCCCATTTCTTCACATTTTATTTAGCATTTTACATTAGTTATTGAGAGATCCTGTCAGCAGCATTGAGTGTTTACAAAAATTTACTTATGCCCTTCATTGTAATTTCATACTCATTTCCAGATATATTCCTCCCTCTTCCCTTATGCAATAAGCCATCCCTCTAATGAAAAATTAAAAAAGAAAGAGGAAGAAAAAAGCAGTCAGCAAAACCAACTAGCACACCAGTTGTATTTGACAGTATATGGAATAGTTCATACCTTCCTTTGTAGTGAAAGGAAGGAGATTCATTTTTTCACCTCTTTTCTGGGTCCATACATAACATCCATAGCATTCAGTTTTGTTTTTTCTTTCCATTTACATTGTTGTAGTCATCATATATATTATTTCTCAGATTCTGCTTGCTTCATTCAATATCAGTTCATGTAAGCCCCCTCATGTATCACTAAATTCTTCATATTCATTGTTTGTTAGGGTGCAGTGATGTTCTGCCCTATTATCCATTCCTCAGATGATAAGCATGCACTTTGTTTCCTATTCTTTGCTACCACAAAAAAGGAGAAGCACTGAGTATTGATCCATTATTTTCTGAATGGGTACATTGCAAGCAATGCCTACGAGGAAAGCCCTTTACTTAGGTTGCCTTACTACTGATCCAGATGGTCAGATAGGTTCCTCAGAGTGATTTTTTCTTACATTAATGTTTGTTTTCCATGTTTGGCTAGGTTTTGTTGGGATATTTATTAGGATATTATTAGTGAGAACTGCATAGGAATTATATACCTGCCATAGTATATAAACTTTAGCTTTTTTTAAGCCATAGTCATACTTGAGGTCCTGGGTTAAAGGAACGTGGGGTGGGAAGAAAAAAAAAAGGATCAGAGACAGTTATAGAAGAAACAAGTCTATACATATAAATCATTTCAGTGCAATATTTGAGAACCACAAAGTATGATATACCCTAACACTTTAAAGCCTCCATTATCTTATTAGGTGTATTTTCTCTCTCCATTTCTGCAAGGTATTCCCTTTATCCTCTATGATTATTATCTGTGGCTTCCAAAAAAAGATCCTGCTTATCTGCTAGAGACCCTCCTATAGATCTTTTAACATTTTTTGGTTACCAGTGCAGAGTGGCCCATTTTCTTTTCTGAACATATGTTTCCTGAATAATATTCCTTACTTCATATACTGAATTTTGCATAATTTTTAATTTGCCACACTTTTATACCCACTTTGTATTTCCCCGTTGCTCTTTGGGTCACCAGCAGTTTCAGTTCACCACAGATTATGTCATCCATTATTGGTAACTATACAGCCTCACTGAGAGAATGCTGGTGTTAAGACATTTATTTTTATATGTGTGTCAGAGAGCAGCTCAGGATCATTTGAAAACATTGCAGGACTTTCCAAGTGGAACCCAGCCCACTTTCTTCCCCCTATTTAATTCTGGGCTTGATATGTCTTCACTGCCTGTCTAGAATGTATGTGGTGATGTGCTAACTCATTGGAAAGTATATGATAAATATATAAAAATTACAATTTTGTCTACCCATTTATGTAATTAATGTTATAAGCTTGTCAACCCATTTACATACAGAAGAATTTACTCTGTTGCCTCAGGTTTTTCTAGGAATATCAGAGCTACAGTTATTTTAGCATTAACTGAATAGATTTATTAGACAAAATATCTACAAGTAGATTACCTATCCCATTTACATGATGACATTCTGATATGTGTTTTTATGTCTATAGTAGATTTGTGAATCCAAGATAACATAGGTCACTGAAGATTTGAATACTTTTTAATTTTTTAGTGGTGTTTTCTGTTGTAAAATACTTTAAATAGAAGTAATTTTAGTTTAAAAATCTACCTCACCTTAATAATAGTCAAATAAGGGGCAGCTAGGTGGCACAGTGGATAGAGCACCAGCCCTGAAGTCAAGAGGACCTGAGTTCCAATCCGGCCTCAGACCAGATACTTGACACTTACTAGCTGTGTGACCCCGGGCAAGTCACTTAACCCCAATTGCCTAAAAAGCAAAAAATAAAAAAAATAATAATAATAGTAGTCAAATAATAAATAACATAAAATGATCTTAAAATTTCTGCTAGTATATAGCTTTATAAAACTAAGGCAAATACTTTGAAATTGATTCTTGCATAGATTAAGGAGTAACTAAGTTCATTCAGAAGGCCTGGATTAGGGGTGGGGAAGCTGGGGCCTCAAGGCCACATGTGGCTTCAAGCCTGCAGGTTCCCCACCCCACTACCCTTGGCCTAGGTCATAATTATTTGAAAAACAAGTATACAAATCAGTTCTGCATTCTGGTAGTTTGGAACTCTTTTGCCCTATATAATTACATTTGCTTTCTATTTAGAATAAGCAAGAAGAAAGTTCAAACTGTATTACTTTGGATATAGAGTGCAGTGTTTTAGTGGTAGATGCCATGAATGCAGATTTATAGTTCAAGAGTTTCAGAGTTGAGGGGGCAGCTAGGTGGCGCAGTGGATAGAGTACTGGCCCTGTCAAGGGGACCTGAGTTCAAATCCAAGCTCAGACCAAACACTTGACATTTACTAGCTGTGCGACCCTGGGCAAGTCACTTAACCCCAATTGCCTTAAAAAAAAAGTTTCAGAGTTGGAAAACCAACCCATACCTAAAAAATTCAGTTATTGTAACATACCCAAAAAGTGGTTATCCAGCCTTTGCTTTGAAGAGCTCAGTGAGTGACAACCCACAGCTCTAACATAACCCATTCTAGGGGCAGAGCCAAGATGGCAGAGTAAAAGCAGTGACTTGCTTGAGCTCTCCCCTAAACACCTCCACATACTCATAAAAAATGTCTCTAAACAAATTCTGAAGCAGCAGAACCCACAAAAAGACAGAGTGAAACAAATTTCCAGCCCAAGACAACCTGGATGGTTGATCAGAAAGGTATATCGCAACGGGCTGGGAGCACAGCGCAGCGTGGCATGGGCGCGCAGGCCGCAGCGAACCTGGAGCAGGCTTCAGAGGACTGAATCTCAGGCAGCCGTGGAGGTTTCCAGACTCCTCAATCCACAAATGCCAAAGACAACAACTTAGAAGGTCAGTGGGAAAAGTCTGTTTTGGCGGGGTCTCAGCTCTGTTCCCCAAGAGCGTGGCCCGGGGCGGGGGCAGCTGCTTCCCAAGCTCCCGGCCCATAGACTGAGGGGGAATCCAGTGGCTGATCAGAGAGGGATTGCAGGGATCTCTTTGCCAGTGCTGAGGCAGGAATCTCTTGCTTTGCCCGTGCTTGGATCTGGGTCACAGTTCTGGGTGGTGGTACTGGGGGTGAGGAGGAACGCTGGGGAGGTGGAACTTGTAGTGGCTGTGGAGAGGAACCCCTCCTCACAGTTATAGGACAGAAAGGAATACTTGTGGTCACAGGCCAGGAAAGGAGTAAACACCTCGCCCCTTATCATACCACCTTGGAAGAACTGAAAATTTACAGGTCCCTACAAGTATCTGCGAAAACATTTACACAAACCCCTGAAGCTTGGGACAGTATACTGTCCACATTGGAAGCAGACTCTTACCTTAACAAAGAGTTTAAAACTAAAGTAATTGGCTGGGATCATGAGCAAGCAGCACAAAAAGAGACTATATTATCTTACTTTGGTGAAAAAAAAGATCAAAATATACAACCAGAAGAAGACAACAAAATCAAAGCTCCTACATCCAAAGCCTCCAAGAAAAATATGAATCTGTCCCAGGCCTTGGAAGA